CCACATGGCGCAGCAGACCTCTCCTGAATCGCCCGCTGCTCCCCTCAGCAGTGTACTTCGTCGATCTGCCTGTTCTGCTCCCCACTCTGTCTCTGGTGAAGCTTCGCACCACCCCTGAGCCTCTGGCCTGTACCCCAGTTCTGTATGCACAAATAAATAAATCTTAAAAAAAAAAATGCTGAAACTGTGTTTATAATGTTTAAGCACGTAACACTTAGAATATACAGAGTCTGGGTTTTGTACTTAAGCAATAAAACAATTCTGTCTCTGTAGCAATGGCATTTCTGTTTCTAACTATGACCCATCACTTGCTGACTGTCTTCACTAAGTACGGTGTTCCAAATGCCTGAACTACTACCCATCTCTGCTTTTTTATTTATGCATACAAGAACCAGGGTATAGGCCAGAGGTGCAGGGGGGTAAGAGGATTCACCAGAGAAAGAGTGGGGAGCAGAACAAATGGATCCACTGAAATACACTGCTAATGGGAGCAGTGGGTGAGATAGGAGAGGTGTGCTGTGTGCCATGTGTGTCAGCTACCTGTACGGTAACTGAACACAGCCTGCAGTGGCTAATGGTAGCTTGGTAGTACTGTGTCCTTAACCCCTGCACCAACAGGAAGGCTTTACCACCCATCTTTGGATAACACTAATAAATTACCACTCAGTTTCACTTCCTTGCTCAGCTCCTAATGGGACTGGTCACATCGATAAATTGGTTAAGGCTATCCCTTGTGCAGCACCAACAGGTGGACTCAGGGCCCTACATACTCAGCAGCGTGAGTCATGTTCTCCCAACAAAGCCCGGCAGGTCAGACATCTGGTTTGCATACCTGTTGGGTAGGAATATGTCCATGCAGAACAGCAGGAGGGTTGTATTGTAGTGGTTGGCCAAGTAGTGGATATCTGGTGTCTCCTGAAAGTCAAAAAAAAAAAAAAACTTTTACATTTTTCTTTACTGAATTACAAAGTATTTGCCAGAAATTTCTAAAATGTAGAGTTAACAGAACAGTTGGTGAAATATTTGCAGAATAAAAATGTGTAAGTATTGACATTAAAATTTGTTTTCAATTTCCCTATTAAAATAACTGGTACAAAAGTCTAAAAAGACTAAAGACTTAGAATAGTGGCTACAAAGGAGGATAAATGATAGGAACTTGATGGGATTGGATGGAGAGAAACTTCTCTGTATACTTAAACATTTCATATGAAATTTATCAAAATAACTATGTTCATTTGAGATGCTAAATTCTACAGTTTCTGTGATGATTAATACAACTTACATTCCAGAAGAAGAAAAAACTTAGTATAAATACTAAGTTCTCTATCTCCCCCATTATAATATTAATTGCTATCAGTATATGCACATACACAATTAGATATTCACACAATTTTACAGTTTTCAACAGTGTATATATTTACTTTCTGGCCTCTAAGTCTGCTCTAATTTAATTATTTTCGTTCACTTTACTTTTACTGTAGCATGTTTTCTTCATTAAGAGTAAGTAGAAAATATGCTAGGTCTTATTTTGACCAAACATAGACATTTTTTGAATAACACTTGATAGATACTACTCTAACATAAGTCCCAGAAATATAGGACAAATACAGAACACCACATATTACTACTTCAGAGGACTGAAGTCTAAGAGTTAGAGGAGATTATACGGTAATAATTAAAAATGTCCTGGTGAAGGAGAAAATGACGGTAACTTTAAAAGATAGTAGTGCCAAGGTATAAATCATATAATGATGGAGAACAGATGTCTTAAAATTCTCTCAATCTATAACTAATTTCCTGCACTTACCTTGCCCAGGGACAAAAGGCCTAGAAAATTGGGACATGATGGAAAGTGGTGGTCCAGAGGGACGTATAGTTTTCAGGGTGGAGAGCTGAGCTGGTGCTGGTGACTGTGCTGGTGAAATAATGGGACTACTGAGTTGAGAGCTGTGCTGTAATTACATCAAGAAAATGGGCCAGCATTTTAGTCAGACTTTTTGTAAATTTCCTTTTGGACAAAATTTTTATACTTTTTGATTACAAGTAAGCACGTTTCACTATTGCTATATATACTTATTATGAAAAAAAGAAACAAACCTAAATAGTATAGAAATAATTTTCAACTTCCAAATATAAATACTGTTAATAGATTGCTTCTATTCATATGTATCCATATATCTACCTTTTACAAAATTGGAACAGACTATATCCTACTTTTGACTCTTGCTTTTTTAATTGGACAATAACAATGTACACAATTTTCCATTATAGAATTCTTTTATCACATTATTAACATTTTATGCTTAAACAAGGCATTCTTAAATAGTTGCAAAAGTAGTTGAAAGAATTCAGTTTTCCCACACATTTTATCATATTACTATCTCTCATTGTGTATAATTTCTCTGAACTATTTGAGTTGCTCATTTTATCTAGAGATAATTTGTGTCTATTGCCTAAAAACAAGGATATTATGTAAATAACCATAGAATCTGAAAAACTAATTAATTAATAATAGATTAATATTATGTAACACATAGAGCTTATTCAAATTTTGCCAACTCCCCACTAATAACAGTTTTCCTTTATAGCAAATAAAAGAAAAAGAATTTCCTACTCTCATCTAGATCCAAGCCAGAAACAATTGCTACATTTAACTGCTCTTTTTTTTTTTTTTTAAAGATTTATTTATTTATACATAGAGAACTGGGATACAGGCCAGAGGTACAGGGGCGGCGAGAGGACTCACCAGAGACAGAGTGGGGTGCAGAACAGGAAGAACAATGAAGTACACCGCTGAGGGGTACAGTGGGCGGGTCAGGAGAGGTCTGCTGTGCCATGTGGATCACCTCCTGGGCTGGGGATGAAACCCACACTGAAGCAACTGCTGCCAGCTTGTAACGCTGTGCCTTAGTCCGTTGCACCACCAGAGAGGGCTGCTACATTTAATTGTTGTCTTTTTAATCTTCAACATAATCTGTTTTCTGATTGACCTTCCTAAAATTTCCCAATTATATACATTAAAAATATTTTTTTTACATTAAAAATATTTTAATATTTTCATCTGTAACTACCAGTAATGGTTGTGAGCTACATTATTAAGTGTCCTTTATATTTAGCGATGATTCTGTCTTTGCTTTAAAAGTATTTTTTCTTTACTATTTTCAAGTCCTTTAATGCTGTATCTTCCTAATATAAAAGTATAGATGATGTATAATGAATTTCTTATATGTTCATTATCTAGCATATCACTTGCAAATATTTCAGTATCAAATACTTCCAGGCAACAGATTAAGTATTAGTTAAAAAGAGTAACACCATTGGGCCTTCCCTCATGGTGCAACAGGTTAAAGCACAACACTATGAAGCTACCCACAGCCACTGCAGCATGAATTTGATCCCCAGTCAGGGACATGACCCACATGTTGTTGCAGATGTCTCCTGTTCTGCTCAGTAGGTCCCTCAGCAGTGTATTTCAATCTGCCTGTTCTGTTTCCCACTCTGTCTCTGGTGAGTCCTCTTACCTCCTGCACCTCTGGCCTTTATCCCAGTTCTTTTATGTGTAAATAAAAATCTTAAAAAAAAAAACAAAACACTATTTACATACTAACAAAACAAACATGTAAATATCTTCTTTTTGCTTAAAAATTCTTTTGATTGTACAGTATCTTAAGAAAATCCCTATGTTGCAAATCAGTCTTATAACTTATCTTTATTTCAATGCCATTTATTTGCTGAAGAAGATATATCCGTAGATTTCCTGATATCGTGGTAAAGATGCTTCATTAGATTCAGGTTTTTCTTCTTCTTCATTTTGTTTTGACAATAGGGTGTAATTCCTTTCACACCACACAGGAGTGAAATGTTTGTAAAGGCTACTGTTGGTCAATTGCCTTAAATAGGGTCTATGTCATATGTCCAGTTAAAAGTTCCCCATGAACTCTATTCTAGTGTTTTTCATATCTGTTGGTCATTATTTCTTGATTTATAATTTTAATAGGACTCCAAAATGGTGATTTTTGAAATTCTACCATCAGTTTAACATTAATTGCAGTTTTTCTATGAAAAATGTCCCCTCATCAATTTTCTGGTTCTATTAAAATATATTTCATATGGGAAAGGTAGGACAGATGTCTCCTTACTTTTTTTCTTTGTCAAAATTTATAGCTAAATTAAAAACATTTGGATAAGCAAAGCTAGGGTATAATATTTAAATAATGAAAGAAATGATCTGGATATAGAAAATATTCTAACTTATATATTCATTTGTTTGAGAAGATTTCAAATTTAGTGTCAAGCCTCAGCTTTATCATTTGATGTGACTAAAATATCGCAAGTTTGAAAATCATAACAGAAGAAGCATCTTACCGGAACAATATTGTCTACATTACTAAATTCCACACACTTTTGTCCTCTCTGGTGATCACAGTAATATTTGTTTTGTTTCCATTGGGGGGGTGAGTGAGCGCGAGATTGTGGATTGTTTGGTACATTTAGTTGCATCATCACCATTCCTCCACCAGGTGGCAGAGGTGGCATAGCTGAAAATCAGAATTAAGACAGTATGCTTTAGCAAAAGGTGATATCTTTAAACAAGATAATCGCAAAAAATTTATTATTAGATATGCAAAACATGTTTGGCCTTTGTGTTTTTTGCTACAAGAGTGTATTTAAAATTAGTTTTTATCTGTAAATGTAAGCATCTTGCTCATCCTGAAAATAGACCCATATTTACTCAGGAAAGTCAAAATACCTCTTATATGACACCTAAGGCAATCTAAAAAAGTTCTTACTTTTGAAATAAAGTAACTTAAAGAAAACAGGCATTAATATAAATAAATAAAAACATACATAAATTTTGGCAGAGAAAAAAGTCATTTTTTTGGGCTGAAACAACCTGATCACAGTAGAAAAATTTTGGACTGTAGCAGCTAGAAAGCAGTTTTAGTAGCTTCAAATGTTCTGTAATAATAGGAAATTCATTTAACCTCTTTTATTTTGTTTTCTTCTCTGAAAAAGGAGGTTAAAAAGACCTCTCTGGCAGATTTAAAGAGTCATGCTGATCAACATTATGTGAAAACATTTGCTAATTACACAATAAGCTATTTAATCTGTTTTCTTATCTGATTTATTTCTCATGTGTACTGCAAAAAATATAGTATTAGGCATGTAATTTGCCTGCCACTATATATAAAGTAAGGTAGGATACCATGCTCTATTTTCCCAGGCCACATTATCTCTGCAGCAACTATAATGGTAGTTTTTAGTTTTCTAGGAACAGAATGAACTTGACTGGCTAGGAAACCAAAGAAGGGTTAATAGCTTTGGTATTTCAAAGTTCCCTCAGTCAGAGCAGCCTATGCTATTACTCATTTATTTGATAAACATTTATTGTTTGTTTCTCAGGTATTACATGTCAAAAATCATTACAATATGATGTTATGATATAGGGTTGTATAAAAATCTCTGGAAGTAGAAAAGCAAATTGTTTTAAGGATTGGAGAAAACTTTTAAAAAGAGATAATTTGTTAGTTTAACTGGAATGAAAAGATTTTGGTTCACAGGATGGTAGGTGAGTATCAAGAAATACAAGGACATTTCTGGAATGAAAAGCATTGTATACCCTGGAAACAAAGTTCTATATGATGTGAGCACACATGTAAATAGTAAAAACAGGAGGCTTCTTTGTTAGGTTAGATGAATTTGTGCAATTTTTTAGTCAGAGGAATTACATAAAGAGATTTGTTTCAGGATTGTAGATTTTGAAATTTCAGGATTTTTTGGTATGATGGAGAAGAGGAAAGTTGGGTATGGAAGAAAAATGAAGTAAAACACTTAAAAGATTATTGCAACAAAACATAAAAAGAAGTGACCAAAATTAGGAGTGGGTAGGAAAAGAAGCTATCAAAATTGTGAAAATGGTAATGGTACGAACTCAAAGGGAAAAATAGAAAATTTATAACTTTGAATATTTAAGTATTTTGATCCCTATGAATAAGGTAAAATAAGGGATGTAGGAAGAGGGACAAATAATAATAATAATGGGTCTCTGATACATATAGCGAGATGGACAGTAGGCAAGTGGCTATATGGTCTTGACTAAGCACAAAATAAGATTTGGGGAATGTTGGCAAAGAATAGTAATTCAAGCCTAGACGGTGGCTAGATGACCAGGGAAGAGCTTGAAGAACAATGAGAGAATGTTTAAGAAAGTATCCCAGAGAATATCTATGTGTACGAGGCAGGAAAGGAAGACAACCTGAGGAAGAGAAAGAGATAGTACGTTAGCAGCAGTAGCAGAAAATGAAGAAGTGAACTGAACATGCTAACTCCATGATTTTGTATGGCACCATAAGCATCTCCGCACACAAGCTAAAAACCTTCTTCTAAAATGCCTCAGAGACTTACTTTTCATTACCATTTGTCAATTATCTATTCATACCTGTACACTGGTGACTTTGAAGCTGCTGGGAACTGCATGGTGAAGTAGTTCGAGGAAACTGTACTTGTTCTGGCCCTGGATGTTGCAAGTAACCTATTGATGAGCTATGGGGAAGAAAGTCAAAACAACATGAAAACATAGCACAATGAGATAATAATGATTATAAAGATTCTCTGAATATATAAGTTCTACAAATTAGTTTTCAAATAGCAGTAAAAGTCAAATCTAACTCTTTCTTCTATATTATACTCTTGCGTAAAAATCACTTCATGTTTATGTTAGTAGTAAGCATTTTTTAAAACCAGCCAATAACTCCTAATTCCATCACTTGCTATTTTCCAATTTATTTTAATTATGAATTCTTTATTTTTAAAAAGATTTTTATTATCATCTAATTTGCCTTCTGAAAGAATTACACCACAATGGGAAAACATATTTATCTTTTAAATAGCATTCTTACTTTAAAATACAATTATTTATGTAATACATTAGAAAGAAAGTTTTGAAGTAGTATCAAGTTTCCCTTTGGAAGGGAGGTAAAAATAGAAAGGGCCCTTATTGAAGTGAAACATTGCACCTAATTCTTGAGGAAGTTCATATTTTAACCTTGAGCAGGAAAATATAAAACATGAATGTTATGAACTCATTTAAGGTCATTCTCAACTAAAATCAACATTCCCACATACAGCAAAAGTGTTTTGCCATAATTTTATAGGAGCTACTACTTCTCAGAGTATGACAGTCAGTTAAATTGGTGGAAAATGCACTATAGGACACACAAAGATTGATAAAAGATGTAATGAGACATACCAATTTCTAACAGATTTTCTATAATGCTCATGTCATTCCTGTAAGGTTATATAATTCACAGGTAGAAACTCTCTGTTCCTCCTGTGATTTATGTCCTTATTCTTATTGTTTTAGAATCAGATTTTCACAATGAAAAAATGACAGCTACAGGGTCCTCACTGGTGGCGCAGCTTGTTAAAACACGGCACTAAAGCCATTTCAGCATGCATTAGATCCCCGGCTGCCCCAGAGGTGATCCACATGGCACTGCAGACCTCTCCTGACAGGCCTGCTGCTCCCCTCAGCAGTTTACTTCTCAGCCTGTTTTGCTCCCCACTCTGTCTCTAGTGAATCCTCTCACTGCGCCTGCACCTCTGGCCTGTACCCCAGTTCTGTATGCACAAATAAATAAATCTTAAAAAAAAAACAAAACAGAGAAAATGACAGATACAATATGTATTTATTATTATTTTAATTTATTTATCTTTATTTTTGCATAAAATAACAGGAAGTATAGGAGAGAGGTACAGAGGAAGCTTGGTGAGAGGATTCACCAGAGACAGAGTGGGGAGCAGCACAGCTGGATTAACTGAAATCCACTGGTAAGGGAAGCAACAGATGAGACAGGAGAGGTCTGCTGCATCATATGTAGGTCAGCTCCCTGGCTGGGGCTCAAACTCAGGCCACAGTGGTGATAGCACTGAGACTTAATCCCTACACTATCAGGAAGGCCAATCCTGACATATTTAAATATACCACAAAGTATGACTGGAAATTAATGCCTGGCAATAAAATATACTCACTAGATATTCTTGTAAATTCAAGTGGTTTCTATAGATTCAAGATGTCAGAACACAGCTTGGGTTTAAGTTCAAACTCCACCTTTTACTTTATGACTGTGAACATATTATTTGGACTTCCACTCTCTCTACAACAAATGTGATTAATCCATGTCTTATCAAACATGGATATAATTCTAAGCACAAATAGTGAAATGCAAAAGTCTACAACTTCAGTAATCACCAAAGAGTCAAAATATGTCAGCATTTATGAAACATGAAAACAATGAAAATGGGTCAGTTTCCTTTGGGATTATAAATTGGAGATCTGATCAAAATGTACTAAGGACCTTCAAACAGAAATAGTCATTGACCTATTAATTTCCCCCTAAGAGCTCTATGTCAAGGAAGAAATTAATATTGTTCACATGATGGCTCAATTAAAAAAATTTATGACCGGGCCCTCCCTGGTGGCACAGCAGGTTAAAGCACAGCACTGAGAATCTAAAGCCACTTCCGCATGAGTTCGATTCCCGCCTGCCCCGGAGGTGACCACATGGCGTGGCAGACCTCTCCTGGGCCGCCCGCTGCTCCCCTCAGCAGTGTACTTCATCGATCTGTCTGTTCTGCTCCCCACTGTCTCTCGTGAGGCCTCTCGCCGCCCCTGAGCCTTTGGTCTGTACCCCAGTTTTGTATGCACAAAATAAATAAATCTTTAAAAAAAAAATTATGACCTAAATGTTCTATTGTGTGCTAAATAAATTATAACATATTCATAAAAGCGAATAATAGAATCATTAAAGTAATATATACAAAGAAATTACATTTTGTATAATTTTTAAAATTGCTGTAACACTGCATCATTATATTGTGTAAATTTGAGCTCTGCACCACTGAAATTCATCTTCAAAAGTTCTTAAGTGACATGGAAAAACACAATACCAAACTAACAAATATCAATATATCCAGTAGGATCTCAACCATGGATGGAAAATACTGTTGCATGAACAGTGGTGAAATGAGAGTTGGGTGAATACGGTTCATTCTTGTTAATTTTCATTTTTCAGTAATTTCCAAAAAGTCACACATATACACATTTCATAATTTTACATATAAAAATTACATATATATGTAGGTAAAAACTATAAATACCTATAAAAAGGGCCTGAAACTTCATTTTTAAATGTATCAGGGATTTGATTCAACTGACAATCTCAATCTGCCTTCAGAAATCTCTAGTCATTTGGTTATACTAATCTGCTATATGAACCTTTACTTCATTTGAAACTCAACCATCCAGGTTAATGGCCTCTAGAAGAAAATATTAATTTGTTTCATAACCTTTTTGCAATTCAAGGTGATTCCACCTTATACATTTTTGTGATGAGGTTTTTTGGTAGGGCAATATAAATAACCTGCCAGCTAATGAGTATTCAAATAACTATATGCTCAACTAATGAAAATAAACATCAAATAAACTGTATATTTTGAATTTTCCCTTAAATATAAATGACAAAATGTTCCGTTCTAACTAAATGCAGACATGAGTAGATGAGTAGAAATATTCATTTTACTTCTCACCAATTCATAAATGTGAATATTTAAAGACTGAACATTATTAAAAATAAGAGAAAGGGCCCTCCCTGGTGGCGCAACAGGCTTTCAGGTGGCGCAACAGGTTGGGACGCAGCACTTGAAGTGAGCTGCAGCCGCTTCATTGTGAGTTCAAGCCCCGTGCCGGAGGTGACCCCCATGGCGTGGCAGACCTCTCCAGGCCCGCCCGCTGCTCCCCTCAGCAGTGTATTTCCGCAATCTGTTTTGCTTCCCGCTCTGTTTCTGGTGAAGCCTATCACCGTCCCTGTACTTCTGGCCTGTACCCCAGCTCTGTATGCATAAATAAGCAAATCTTTAAAAAACAACAAAAAAAGACAAACTGGAAAAAAAATTTGCAAGTAATATATACAGTAAGGTAATTATGTCAGATATATAAAAAGCATAATAATAAAGACATAACTAATTAAACTGAGCAAATGATCTGAAGTGACATTTCTTTATGGATGATATACAAATACTAATAAGCACACAAAAAGATACTTAATATCAATGGTCACCAGGGAAATCAAAGTCATTATTTTCACACACTCCCACTAGGAAAGGATATAATAAAAATGCCGCATACTTATGGGATTACAAAATGGTATAGATACTTTGACATACAGTCTGGCATTTCTTCAGATGATTAAACATAGTTACCATGTGACCCAGTGATTCCTCTCCATACCTAAGCCCACACAAAAATTTGGAAACTGTTTACAGCATTATAATAGTCAAATGATAGAAACAACCCAAATGTCCACCAATTGACAGATAAACAAAATGCATTATATGCATACAATGAAATATTATTCTACTATGAAATATACTACTGATATGCACCACAGTAAGGATGAACCTTAAGACATTATGCTGATTATGCTGAGGGGGCCCTCCCTGGTGGCGCAGTTAAAGTACAGTACTATGAAGCTCTCTGAAGGAACTGCAGCTCCAGTCCTATTCCCACCCAGGGGGATGACCCACTTGGTGTTACAGACCTCTCCTGACCTCCCCACTGTTCCCCACAGCAGTGTATTTTAGTAAAACTGCCCGTTCTATTTCTCACTGTCTCTGATGGATTCTCTCACACCCTACACCTCTAGCCTATACCCCAGTTCTTGTATGCATAAGTAAAAAAATCTTAAAAACAAAATAAACATGCTGAAGTAAAGTAACCAGTCACAAAAGGCTGTATTTGACTTTGTTCATATGAAATGTCTAATACAGGAAAACTTATAGAGTAGATTAGTAGCTGGGAGATGGTGGTACTGATGGTGAGGTAGGAGAGCAGAAACTAAATAATAAAGCATTTCTTTCCTTTTTCCTTCCTCAATATACTCACACTGAAAAAAAAAACTGGTAAAATAATTATTTATCATTAACTACTTAAAAAAAAAAGAGATTAATTTATTTTTGGATTCTCCGTGGTGGTGCAATTTTAAAGTGCAGCACTACAAAGCTAGCCACTTATAGTACCAGCCAGGTACCAGACCCACCACTATTTCTCCCACTGCTCCCCTCATATTGTACTGCATATAGAACTGGGGTACAGGCCAAAGGTGCAGGAGCAGTGGAGGATTCACCAGAGACAGAGTGGGGAGCAGAACAGGCAGATGTACTGAAATACACTGCTGAGGGGAGCAGCGGGCAGGTCATGCCATGCCATGTGGGTCACCTAACTGGCTGGGGATTGAACTCATGCTGCAGTGGTTGAGAACGCTTCATAGTGCTGTGCTTTAACCTGTTGCGCCACCATGGAGGGCTGCCATTAACCATTTTAACTGTTCCTTTTTTCCCCTAGATCCTGGTAACTTCCATTCTACTTTCTATGACTATTCCTTTAATAGTCAAAATCAAAAAACAATTTTGAATATAAAAGGCACGCACAAAAGGTCCTATATGGGAAATCATTCACCATAAGGATAGTAATTTAGGAAAAGTAA